AAATGTAAATAAAAGTTGTTCACAGAAAGTAAATAGATAGGGAAAAAAGTAAGGAGATTGATAATACTGGATCTGGATTAGGTAAATCAGTTCATCGGTTGCTGTCTTATACTCCAAAATAGTGTAGTTACAAGTTACCACAATTTGTAGAAATTTCTAGACAATATTCCAGACACCTCAGTGAGTGATCAAAAGATAGATTAAAAGACTTACAACAAGATTATTATGAAAATAAATTCTTGATGTAAGGGTATTAGTACAGGTCTCCTATGTGTTATATTTATGATTCAAAATGTGATAAATTACCTCATTCCTGCAAGAACTGGCAAGAGTGATAAACTCGTAAAATAGCACTATGATAATTAAAAAGCTACCTAAGAAATTCAAATGTCATGATTTTACATCATCATGGTAACTGTCTCAGAACCACTAAAACGGTTTAGTGTCATTGATGAACTCCTCAACATAACCCATTCAGTAATGAGCCAAAGGACTTGTTAGTAATGGATCACATCATCTCAAGAATCAAGAGAACATATTACATGATGACACTATCAAAGATGTCCCTTGATCACAAAAGTTGGTATATCCAACAGATCATTAAAGCATAAAAAAAGTGAACTGCAGAAGCTACTTTCTACACTAGCACTAGGCTCTTGATTGCACACATTCCAAAAGTTCTTTCTCCCTTTTCTTGAGTTTGTAGAAAAGTGACAAGGAGTCGGTAACAATTATAACAGTATTCTATGCCTATTTTTCAATCACTAATTATCATGTACATAGAACACCTGTTCCTGGTATAACTCCATTGTTTACATAGGTAGCACGGAGGAACTCTTAGATGACTAATCTGGATTTCTATTTGAGATAACCATCAAACAAGCATGATACTCTCAAAATTGTTGGGAACACTAGGTGATAGCTTATAATTAAATGACTTAGGCATGCTTTCTGTCCAATAAAATACTGCAAAGAGTTATGAATTAATATAAAATAATTGAACCAACAAAAAAAGAGAGAGAAAACTGTATCTAATCTTTCACTAAATACCAATCCGATGACAAATTAAAAAAAAAAAAAAGTGAAATCCATACGCTGAAGCCTTCTCTGGAGGCGTCTCTAAAGACGGAACAGGGTATTTTTCTTCCAATGATTTTGTAATAATGTCTGAATCAGCAATCCACTTCTCATCAAGCTTAATGACAGGAACTTTTCCTTCAGGGCTTATTTGCAGAAACCTAGAGCAGTAAATGGTAACCAAACATATCATGAGATGAATCCATCCCATCCCTTGCATTTTGCTCCTCCTTTACCAGAACAAGAATTAAAGATTTACCATTCTGGCTTGTTTCCCAGATCGACCAATTTCATGTCATACGATAAACGCTTCTCCTCGAGGGTCAAGAGAACCCTTTGCGAGAAAGGACCTGAACAGACATTACGAATGGTCTAATTCTAGCAAACATCCATGCTGAAAACCACCGACAATTAGACAAACATGTCTAGTACATAGTTCCAATTAGTTCCACCAGAACATTATAAAGGACTCATTCATGAGAGTGGGGGAAGTAGAGAGATGAGATCGAGAGGCTTTACAATCGCCAAGTCGGTTGGGGACGGTGATGGACGCCTTGACGCAGACCTCAAAAGGGGGCTCCGAGGGGGACGAGGCGCGGACGGGGAGCACACGAAAGCAGCGCCGGGATGAGCGGAGGCGGACGGCGGCGGTGGATGCGAGGAGGGACGAGGAACGGGACAAGAAGGCGGCGGGAGCGATGGTTGCCGTCGCCGCCGACATCGCTGCTTCCCCTCGCCGCTCGCTGCCGTGGGTACACGACGAAAGAGAGCACCCCGAGATGGATGCGGTTTGCGATGGTGGGATGGGATGGAACGAACGGGTGTTACTTCTGGTGACGTTTGCGCGGGTAGGGAATCAACGGATGAGATTTAAGATGGGACTCGCACGCGTTCGCCATCGGAAATGGACGGCGGATGAAAGTGAAGCCTGCATATCCAGCGGCTCACGTGAATCACATGTCGCGGAGAAGTGAAGCGAAATCGTTTCCTCATAAAATGAGAATAGAAAAACACAATTAATTGAAGAAATTATTCGAAAAATTGGCTTTTTCTTTCTTTTTCAGAAGAATTTGTGGTGCTCATTTCAGCTTAGGCTAATATTTATGATTCGGGTGCGATATCCCAATTTAGTTTAACATAATAACTTAAATTGATCAACAAGATTAATGACTTAAATTGATTAACAAAAAAATTTCTTTTTTGATTTCTTTTCAGAAATGCTCCTCATTTTTTAAATTTTATTTTTTTAATAATTAGAATATCCCAATCATCTTTTTTTTTTCTTATGGATTAACAGCGAATCTATTCGATTATAATATTTTTACACTACATTAATTAATATCAAAAAATATTATAATTGAGTAAGTACAAAGATACTGTGTAATAGTGTTTATATACCATGTTATAATATTTTTATAATATTATTTAAAAATAAAAAATATTGTATTATAATATTGTTGTACTACTTTAGTATTTTTTTTAATATAATTAAAAATACTATAAAAATAATATTTTTTATAAAAAAATATATAAAATTCTTATATTATAATATTTTTGCTATTACTAAAATTATATAACATTTTTACATTGACCTTTAAATATTCATTCACAAAACAATTATCTTTTGATTTTTTTTTCTGAAACGCTCCTTATTTTTAAAATTTTATTTTTTTAATAAGTAGAATATCCGAAACATCTATTTTTTCTTATGGATCAATCGTGAATCAATCCAATTATAATATTTTTAACTACAATAGGTAATATCAAAAAAATATTATAATATAGTACAAAGATACTGTGTACTAGTGTTTATATACTATGTTACAATATCTTTCTTAATATTATTTAAAATAAAAATATTATATTATAATATTAGGAAAAAATATTATAATTAAAGATACGTTAACGTTGTGTAAAAGTACTATAAAAATAAGATTTCTAATAAAAATTATATTAAATTATTATATTAAATATTTTTGCTTATTACTAAAAATATATAATATTTTTACATTGACCTATAAATATCCATTAGCAAAAAAATTATTTTTTGAGTCTTTTTTCATAAACGCTCCTTTTTTATTTTTTTCTAATAAATAAAAATACCCCAATCGTCTATCTTTTTTCTTAGCGATCAATGCACATGATGAATCAATCCAGTAATATAAAAAATATTATAATATAGTACAAAGGTATTGTGTAATAGTGTTTATATACTATGTTATAATATTATTAAAAATACCTAAATGTTTTGTAAAAAATATAATATAATATAAAAAATATTATACGATATTGATTCACTTTATGATTGATTTATAAGAAAAAAAAAATATATATATTCCAGAATTTTAAAAATGAAAATGCTTCTCAGGAAAAAAAGAATTCTTAAACAAGGGTGGCCTACTACTGCTCAGAACAAAGGTTACATGTAGACCTACTCCTTAACACAAAGACAGATTATGATTGTTTGATCTCTAACACACTGACTGCATCTTAAGAATGCTAAATCAATCTTCTAAGCAAAGCAATCATCATCATCAAAGATGGTAGGCCACCATATGATTAATTAATTAATTGATTGGATAAAAGAATAATAGAATAAAATTAAAAATGTACATGACAAAAAAAATAATACATGTATTCAAATTTTTGGATAAGAACGCCTTCACACAATGGTAGTGTCATCCATGATTACTTTTTAAATGATTATAAAAATAAAAAATTAATTAGTAAATTTGTGAAACAGTTAGCTATATGTCATCTTATTAGAAACTAAAAATCGTACATTATATAGAACGTTTGTTAGTGTCGTTGCAGATTACACAAGCACGGGGTTGACAACCCTTCTTTGTATCGAAAAGCCAAACGGCCGATAGGGAAACCATTATTTTCATAACAAGCCTATATCTGACCAATTATAGATATATATATATATATATATATATATATATATTCAAATTAGTTTTGATAATTAATCTGATGACATCCGTCGCTCTCCGCAATTGATGGAGTGTCCAATAAAGGGAACAGTCAGAAAAGAAATGTCAACTTTTCTCGGTTGAGAATGGAAATCATTTCCAACCACATGTTTCGGAGGCATGCCGGCACCGCACAAAATGAAACTGAAATGACGATGAAACCCCCTCGTGTATCTCGTGCGCTATTAAGAAATGTTGGTTTGGGCGGCTCGTATGTTGAGTTTTCTTACCATATAGCCCCTCTACATATAATTATTTTACTAAATACCCCACAAATTCTAAATTTACGTATTTACACTTGCATGGATGCACTACTACTAAAGAATAATGGATTCGTTTGATTTAAATTAATTTAATACATAAAATTAAAGGCAAGACAATTTAATATACATTTAGAATATGAGATTTTTTCGATCATTAGCAGTCCTACTTTTGAAGTAATTTGAGGCGATATATATATATATATATATATATATATATATATATATATATATATATATATATATATATAGGGGTATAAATGTAAATATTGATAGATCCTAACTGTAGTTGGCTGAATTTTCGAAAAAGATCAATTTTTGAGTTTTTCTCAGAAAATATAATGTATTTTTTGTTTAATATCTAAAATATCAATCCATCAATCTCTTTTTATTTTCGTTTCCTATGGATGGAGGTATAAAATGAACCGATTCAAGTATAATATTTTTATATAAATATAATATAAAAATATTATAAAAGGATAGATTTATCGTAGGGGTTCAATCCATCCCAAAAAAAAAAAAGAAAAAGAGCAAAAATGGGTAGATTGTCAAATAATAATAAGTAGCAGGTATTAGGAAAAAAAATTAAAAAATTCGAAAAATTAGGTACCTTTATGAGGAAAAAGCTAAAAACAGTTTTTTCCCCATAAATTCGCCATTTATAGTTGGTGGAATGTGATCAGCCTTCGCGTCGACCCACTCCTCCTTGACGTTGAAAAGCCTAAAAGCTTCTCTCTCTCTCTCTCTCTATCTCTCTCTCGCCACCGCAAGTAACCGAGAACTCCATACGCACCACCAAATGGCCCCTAAACTGGGATCCTTCCATTACAACTTCGAGCAGCGGAGCAAGGAACGGCTCCTCTCCTCCACCCTCCTCCCCCACCTCTACGATGACCCCTCCACCCGGCAGGGAGGCTGCTTCCGCCGCCTGGCCGATCGGATCGCCGCCGCGTGGGCCTTCATCCGGTGGTTGGCCGTCGAGGGCTGGGAGTTCGGGCGGTCGGACCCACGGAAGGTGGTGTTCGCCGCCAAGATGGGCCTCGCCCTCACCCTCATCTCCCTCCTTATCTTCCTCCGGGAGCCCTTCCGGGACCTCACCAAGTACTCCGTCTGGGCCATCCTCACCGTCGTCGTGGTCTTCGAGTTCAGCATAGGTGGGGTGGGTGGGAACTTGAATGATCGATGAGATCTTCATGTCGTCTATTTTTCTTCGTGCAAATTTATTTTCCGAGACACTAAAAATGCCTTAAATCGCAGTTTGATTGCTTATCTGTGCTTTGAAGATGAATGCGCTTCCTTATATCAGATACTGTCTTCTTCATGCTTTGTCATGTGGATTCCCTCATGTATAGTATAAGATCTTGGAGGTTTCGTTTTCTGGTGGAATAAACCTTGGATTAATGGACATGCCAATTAGTCTTCTTCATGTTTATAAAAAGTGAGCTGACTTTGTAAATTAATTTATAACGGTCATTCATCATGGTCAACAGAGTCGATTCTACATTTGTAACACATTCTTTAGAGAAAGTGTGAAGACTGATGGAACATTATTGGAGCTGTTTGACCGCTATAAGATAAAGAAGTTGTAATTAGTCTTTTATCTGCTTGTGAGAATTTCTGAGTGAGCAGATCATAGGCCCATTAATGAATTTTCCTACTAGTTCCTTTTAAATTCTTGCCCCATGCATACTTAATCCAGACTGAGTATCCAAGTCTGCATCATGCAGGTGCCACTCTAAGCAAAGGGCTTAATCGGGGTTTAGGAACATTACTTGCCGGAGGCCTTGCTCTAGGTGTTGCAGAACTAGCAATACTCACCGGAGATTTGGAGGAAGTAACTGTAGTTATTAGCATCTTTGTTGCTGGTGAGATGCATAACACCTGTCTCTTGCTTTCATCGTTGAGTATTTTGCATTATGTAGGACTGACTTTTTCCTTTTTTTTCATTTCTCATCCATCACCGATGCAGGATTTTTTGCAAGCTTCATAAAGCTCTACCCGACAATGAAGCCTTATGAATATGGCTTTCGAGTCTTTTTGCTCACATTTTGTTTCATAATGGTGTCCGGATATAGGACAAGGGCATTTATTGAGACTGCAGTGAGCCGGTTTCTATTAATTGCTCTTGGAGCTGGTGTTGGTTTGGGAATAAATATTTGCATTTATCCAATCTGGGCAGGAGAGGATCTGCACAACCTGGTAGCAAAGAACTTCACAGGTCTAGCTAAGTCTTTGGAAGGTAATTATTATATGAATACGCTTCATCCTATCATTTCACATGGTATCTGATTTGAAGTTTTGAAACATCTTGGTGCTCATGACTTGGACCAGGCTCGACAACTATAGCAATGTAATCTGTTTCCAATAGTTTGATAATCGGTACATTTTGCACAATGGTACTTGAACTCATTGTCAAATAATTGATTCAAAATTTTGAACATAAGACTTTTGCAATTTTTTTACTACAATTTTTTTCTGCCTACAGAGAGTTAGGCAGAAAGTGAAATGTAATCTTCAGTTGGCAGAGTAATCTGAAGTTATAACTGGATTAGTCTAATATTGGAAGCAAGGTTTTAATACCAGATGGACTGATACATACCCACCAGTATTTACCAGTCCAACCAAGTACCTTTCCTGAAACATATATCTTGGTATTGGTACAATACTATTCTTTTTTTTTGTTATGTTATTTAATGAAATTTGGCAGTACAGAATGGTATACTACTCGGTATATATTGATATCACACAACTCTAGTAGGTTACGGAAATTGGTGTTGGACTGAAATTAAAATCCTTCATTGGTAGAACCATAACACTTATCAGCTGATCCTGTTGCTATTTCTGTAGGTTGTGTCAATGGATACCTTCAATGCGTTGAATATGAAAGGGTTCCTTCAAAAATTCTTACTTACCAGGCTTATGATGATCCTCTGTACAGTGGGTATCGATCTGCTGTACAATCAACAAGTCAAGAGGATGCTCTTGTATGTATCTTTTTGAACTTCTATGCATTCCTGAAATCTGTCATTGGTTGAATGGAAGATGAGTATTTTCTATAAGTAATTTTTTTTTCCATGTTTTATCATAGTTAGGTTTTGCTATCTGGGAGCCACCACATGGTCCTTACAAAATGTGGAATTATCCCTGGAAGTGCTATGTTAAAGTTAGTGGTTCGCTCAGGCACTGTGCCTTCATGGTTATGGCACTACATGGTTGTATACTATCAGAGATTCAGGTAGGATGCTTTTTTTGTGTTATTTTTCTAGCATTGTTTGATTTAGTACATTAGATTTCCTTGAAAGCTCTCTTTCAGTTTGTTCTTATTTGTTTTCGCTTATGAATCAGGTAAAATGGGAAATATTTGTTATTAAAATGATTAACTAAGTCTATCATTGATTATGAGAATCCTAAATAATAGTGGATAACATTATCTCACCACATGGCTTAGTGGCATAGATAAGATTGATGATTGAGAATATGTAGTAGCAAGGAAATTATGTAGCACGGTCTTAGTGGCATATAAGGCAAGATTTCTCTCTGACAATATGTAGCAAGGAAATTAAGTGATAGGACCATGTTCTTGGGTCGACAGTTTGGAAGACAGAGTATGAATGAGTCTTAAGAAATTGTACAAGTCTAACAAAACCTAATTGAGATCTATAATAACTTATGGCAAACTACATGATTAAAGTCGGCGGGCCATTGGGTGTACACAGAAGAGGCTTTTGGTGCTTGTGGGGCCATAGGATTTGAATAATAGCTCATGACTAGTCATTGAATGGTATGAGTGCCAGTCCATTCCGCATTCATATTTGACTGTGGTACATCAAAGAGAAGATGTGTTATTGTGGTTGATCATGAACTAATTATGAACATTTAGGATTGACAATGAACTGATCATGATGTTGTTATGTAAATTGAACCTTAGAATTCTAACAAGCAGATTATATCATAAACAGAAAATTATATGCAGTGTGTGTTTATCATACATAAATTTTGGTAAATGAACAATACTGGTCTTTTATGGGATCAATGCAAGAAAAGAACTCTCTTAGCCTTTTGGGTGTGGTCTTGATCTATTGGGTCATTATAGGCCTTATTGGGTTATTATAGGCCTAATTTTCTTGAAGGTGCAAAATTGCATTAAGAAGCATAGTATAAAAAATGTGTAAAGTGGCAGAAAGTTCAAAAGAAGGATTATTGTCTTACTGCTTTAGAATGTAGCATCACTCTCATTGAAAAAACAAAAACATAATTTGTACTAGGATTTTCCAGCTGAAGAGTTCTGCCTCTATTAAGCTCTATATTTGGAACTGCCATTGGGTGCAAGTATTGCTCAGTTCTCATGACTTTTTACACAAGCTTCCTTATATCGTGGTTGATTTGGTGAATTGTACCGTAATGATACCATACTTCTTTCTTCTGAATAAGAGCAGCATGAAGCTTTTTGCGGTCACATGATATGATAGATGGCATGACATGTTATTATATAACGTCTTCCAAGTTTGGCTGTTAGACATGCAATAGAGTGATAGGCATGATATGATATTATATGAAAAAAAAGATAAATGAAAAAGATACATCAAATAGTAGGCTAGAGATTCAGGAACCTACACTGCAATCATGGATTCATAATAGTCCTAATTTTAAGTTATTAGTTTATCTTAATCAATGTCATAATTAGAGAGTTTTAAAGGTCTACTTTTGGAGGAACATAAATATCAACGGGATTTCCATAAAAGAATTCCACATCTTGAATTGATGTCCTCCTATTGTTGCTCAATAACAAAAACTGGCACCATGTACATAAAGGAATAAGCATATATTTCTCAAGGGAGTTATTTGTTTGAGGAATTGTTCCTTGATCCATGTAGAAACTTTCATGTTGGTTGTTGGAGTTGGATCCTTCTAGGTTTGTCAATTTCAGAAGTTGTGCCAAAATTTTCATTACACTTGGTAATTCTTGGCTAGTAAAATTGCTTATTTCTGCATCATTGGAAAACTTGAAAAAGTTAGAGATGTCATGTACATATTTCCGGGCCAACTCTACTTCTTTAGTCCTTGGAATACTATACTTGGTGCAGTTATGCTTAATTTTCATTACATGATAAACTAGAATCATGGATCAATCTTCACTTGAAGAATATATTCAACTACAAATTAGTTTGCCTTGCTTTGCAACATATAGAAAATGATCCTTTCTCATCACCATGAGTCATCGTGCCATATCAGGGTGAAAAAGTTAGTCAAATAGGTAGAAAATACAAATTGAAATGACAAAGATGAAAGAAGACCATCAGAAATAGCAAGGATATGATAATCCTTGGGTTTTTTCTGAATATTTACTTCAATATAGCTAAATGATAGAAATGGATCCTTGTAGTTGATATTAGAATCCTTGGACTGCCTCAGGATATTCTCTTCTGTACAACTAATGATATAAAAGGATCCTTGTAGATGCATGACTTTGGAATTCTCTTCAGAAACCTTCCACTGTCTATTCTTTACTACGCTTACCTGTTAAAATCTCATCTGTCTGTGTTTTACTAATCGTACCTGAAAAAAAGGAATTCTCTTCCTGCAGAAGTGGATCTTGTTAAAGTCCTATACGGTATGGTACTTTGTGCAAGTATAAGGCTATCTTTGTTATTTATGTAATTAATGTGATAATCTGGAACCTGCAGATTATTGTAATTATTTGATTTTAAGCACATGTATTATGCACTTGCATGTGCATAATAAAAGTCTTAAGTGTTCTCATTTTCATTTTAACCAGTGTTGCCACTTGTGTGATTAAAAATCACAGGCCCCACCAGAAAGCAGACAAATTTTTAGCAGCGAGCTGAAGAGAGTTGGTATCGAAGGTGCTAAAGTGTTACGCGAGCTTGGAGATTTAATTAAGACAATGAGAAAACTGGATAAACCAAATTTTCTCTTTGAAGTCCACGAGGCAGCTGAAGTTTTGCAGAAGAAGATAGACAGGAAATCGTACCTACTAGTGAATCTAGAAAGCTGGGAGGGTGTAGAGTTCCCTGATGGAACAAAGGGAATCCCTGGCAGACCTAACATCACGGAAGATGATAGCAAATGCTACACAGCAAGATCTAATGGTGAAGCAGTTGTCGATCATCGATCACCACCACTTTCTACAAGTTCTGATATTCACAACTTAGTCACAAGTGACACCGGTTCTCTGCCAAAGATGGACTCCATGTTCAGGAGGCAGATGCAGTGGCCTGGAAGGCAGTCATTTAATTTAGAAGTCATGCTTAACGGAGAAGAGTCGAGAACCTATGAAAGCGCTAGTGCATTGTCACTGGCAACGTTTGCTTCGCTTCTCATTGAATTTGTTGCGAGGCTTCAAAATTTGGTGGATGCATTTGAAGAGCTAAGTGAACAAGCCAATTTCAAGGGGAATGTAGATGAATCAGTGTCGGAGACTGCTGGGCTGTGGACCAGAATCAGGAAGTTTCATGTGAGAAAAGAGGAATTAGTTTAGAGGGTCAAGGAATTCGTTGTTCGAAGATTCCTAATGGAGTGTTTTGCAGTGAAATATCGGTGTTGCAGCTAAAACTTTTGGAGAACTTTTAGTGTTCTCGTCTGGCAATCAGATTGCTATTTCGCAAGCATGTAAATATCCAAAGGCTCATGTAAACATATAATGACAAGAAATCGGATTCCACTGGTATCAGTTGGGCATGCAGATGACCCAAAAAAATAAAACCCCGTGTATTTTTTACAACAATATCCTATAAATTATTATTATTACTTCCAATAGCCATATCCTGGGAATGTTGTACATTCATTTCAAGTAGTTTGTACTGTTTCAGCGATGGTAAATTGGCTCAGAAGGTGGAGCTTTTGTGGTTTGACATCCTGAATGATATCTAAAGACAATAATTGCTTGTTTTATTTATTAGGTTTTTAGAAAAGCAATGGATTGTGAAAGAAACTATAAACTTTTGTTGTGCTTAATCATTGTGAAAGGTATGAGTTTATTTTGAAAGGAAAATGCTGTATAAATTAGTTGGGGGTTACCAAAAACTGAGGCGTTGGAGACCTGTAGACAAGAATTGAAAGGGGAATAATTTTAACTTTATTCCTTCTATTCTAATCAATTTTTTTTTCCAAAATTACTTGAATCGATTAAAATCCTCCTAAAATTGTAAGTATAAAAATTATAATTATCCTATTATTATTTAAAAAACTTTAATATAAGAATCAAAATCAAATATGATATATTAATATTTACATACATTTTGATACCATTCAAAAAAAATTTATTTGAGGTATGGACATATGATTTACAAGAAGAATTATATTCATATATTTTTTCTCATTCTATTCTTTACATATATAATCTTTGGTGTTTCATCCCGATGAAATCTTAATTTTTTAGACGAAAACATAAGATTTATGATGATAATTAGGAGAGTCTCTACCATCAAGATTATCTCATAAAATATATATTTGTATTGATCGATAATCATAATCAAAATTTAGTAAGACTTATGATAATAATTAGGAGAGTCTTTATCATCAAGACTATCTCATAAAAAATTAAGATTATTGATCAATAATCTTAATCAAAATTTAGTAAGATTTATAATATATCTTATCTAATTAGACACATTAATAAAAATATCTTAGATAAATATATTAAAAAAATAACCATAAAGTTTCCACTAATGCTGAATTTAGAAAAAGATCAATGGCCTTATAAACCATAAAATAATGACCTTAGATTAAGATATTAAAGTCATAAAAATAATCTTTCAAGGATAAGGTTGCATTCATCCTCCTTGATCTGTTCTTGTCGCTTCCTTTCATTTTCACCGAAGACTTTAGTTATAGTAGGTTGATGGAATCGTGGGACCCACCAAGCCAATTGCCACGTATCTCTCTGTTGGACTTGAGCCACTTGCTTCGTTAGTCAAGTTGACTTTCGCAACAGAACAATACTTTCACCTACCCGAGCACGTCACTACTCGCGTCGCATACCCGTCTCGTGATGTGACCAGAAACGAGGCTTGCGACTGCTACTCCAATCAGAAGGAAGGTAGACGGACAGGCAAGCGTGGGTAGAATCAATGCATGTCGTTGCCACGTATGATTAAATATATCTACCTGTGTTTTCAATTTCATAAAACAATTAAAGGTCTATGGTGATGTATTTGCTAAATTGTAGCTATACAAAATGAAGGTCTCGAAAAGATAAGATCAATATCCACGTAAAACCATCTTTTTTGTTCGAATATATGCATTGCACATACGCCCTTTAAACATTGTAGACAAGAATTGGATCCAAACAACAGTATCCTTTGTTCGCCAATTATTCAAAGACAAGAACAACACTAGAGCGAATGAATATATTACATTGCACCACATACAAGCGAAGAAAAAGGAGCAGATATTACGGTAGCTACTGTTACATGTGACATCACCGAAAGCATCACTCGTCCATTTCTCATGATCTCCTCAACGCATCATGCCTCCCTGCATCATTGGTGGCTGTGTCATTCCTCCTCCGGCCTCCCTTTCCACGTTAAGATGCCACCCTGCAATAGTTAACGAGAAGAACCTTCATTAGCATCTGCTGTAGAGAGAGAGAGAGAGAGAGAGAGAGAGAGACCGAGGGCCATGTTGAATCCACGGTTCTTGAGCTCTCTATACTCCTGGCACAGAGCGCAGGTTTCGCAGCAGAAGTGGACGCAGCAGTCGCAGCACGGGGAATCGGGCAAGTTGTAATAAGCCCTCATCTTCGTCCTGTAGAACCACGAGTATATGCACTGGCAGCCAGTCAACGCCATTATCAACGCGTACAGCGCTCCACTCGCCCCGCACGCTGCATGTTTACATCGTCGATGCACACGTTACTCGGGCCGGTAAACCACCGTAAACTGCTGCTCGCGAGAAGACAAATTGAAGCTAAGGAACTTACAGGTTGTGCCTCTATCTACGATCTCCGCGACCCGGCCGAAAGTAACGCACGGGCACCAACAAGTCATGCAACCTGCGTCGATGGACAAAGACAAGAACAACGTTAGGCCATCTCAATCACGACGTCGATAAGGACGACGGCTACAGAAGAACCCACAGTTGCCGAAGTCATCCATGCAATCACAGAGACCGGTGGACCACACCGGCTGGGTTTCAGCACCACCAAAGGCATTGTGAGCCATGGGAACGCCGGTCACCGGCGGTGCAGATGCCGGCCCACCAACCTTGGATGGATACATTTCTTCGGAGACAATGACAGATACAGAGATGATATCTGATGCAAGGAATGCAAGAAGCATCCCGTATATAAACATGCGAGTCCTGCTCGACTGGCTGTGCACAACCGAGCTATCCTATCACATCGAAAGTTCCTAATCGAATAAATTAGAAGGGCATACACGGTAAGGTCAGAGATGAACTGTTCAACAAAACGTAGAATATCACTGGTAGACTTCGTATTCCGCATGATGACACGAAGAACAAGTAATTTAAGGAAACAAACCATGTGATTGAGAAGTGAGAACATATCCGATAAAAACATCTCATCGACATTATTGCACACGTAGTTTTATTATTTTTGGCATTTCTTGAATCGCCCAAAGTCAGATTCAGAAGCTTAAGGAACACTCCGTGCCAGTTCGGAGGAAAGGTATTATAGTGGAAATATGATGAGATATCTGGTAAACGATACCTGCAGAGCTGAGTCTCATATACGTTTTGAGGAGGCTGCGTCGTCTCCTATGGGACAAAACCGTCCGAGATGACGAGAAAACGACGGCCGGAACAAAGAATTGACTCGGACAAAGTCAAAAACTGCTGTGAGCAATGGTAAGACGCCATCTGCACATGCGTTGGAAATTTTGATTGCAGATGTCAGACGTGCCTCCACGAGATAATCTCAAAGTAGGCAATCCCGTGGACTTCCATTATTTGGGTACGCATTTGAGAGCATCATGTGATGCGTACCTTACTACTTTCATGTTTGGATTGAACTGGATTCTAAGAATAGGATATTTGTTTGTGTGCGTAGAGAGCTCGGTGTAAAAAATTGATATATGTAAAAGCTATTCAGGTCACTTGTCAGTTGATGTATGTGAAAATAGATATGTGGCAAAAGCAACTAAAAGAATATACGTATAATGCTGTCTTTTACGTATGTAAAGTTGATATATGTAAATAATAATTATATTTTGGACGATTTGTTAGAAAAATTATTTTTTAAATTTCTTAGAAAGATATCCTCATTTTCAGTTTTCTCATTTGGTGCCCTTATTTTTCTCTACTATCCTAAATGTCCCTTGTCATCGTCAATGCTCCATCGGAACCGTCTTCGTCCTATCGTTTTTGTTGCATCACTTCAACTTTGTTACCCTATCACTTTTACCTCTATCTCGATCTCTTTTTCTCTATAAGGTCTCAATGCTGGATGTGATGATGGAGCCACATGAGTAGAGGATATAATAGGTCTACACTTTAGTACCAGATAGTGATAATACTCTTGTGGATAATCGATATGGTCAAGTGAGCAAAGGGCACACAAGCCTAACAGAATCCAATAATTATCCTATTATTTCATGGGATGTTAATACTACTAGTATGGTTCTCTAAGTTGGCATCACTGCTGATGGTGGTCTACGTGGCGACAATCGAGACATGAATGTACCGATAATAAGAGTAAAGTCAAATGTCACACCCATGCTTAAAAGCATTATAGTCGAAAGCAATGAAGTGGGAAGAGTTGGATGATGTGTTTAAGTTTGTGCTAAGCACGTAAGAGACAGAAGTAGTGCAAGCATGATATGTTCGAATATAAGGGATGACAATGTTAAGGATGTAGTGGCATAGGTGAAAGTGACTACGACGACTTTGCTAAAGGGATGGAGGTGACAGGTGAAGCAATGAGATGAAGGTGACCACAACGAGATATTGGTGACAACAAAAGACATTAAGGATATTAATTAAAAATGAAGCACCAAATGAAAAAAAATGATGGGAGGTATCATCTAACAAAAGAATATTATGATTGATCTTCCTAAAAGTAATCTTGTGCTTCACTGAATGAACTTATGATCGATCTTTCTAAAAGCCTAGGAAATTTTTACTTAAATTTAGGGCTTTGCAAAACACTTATGGGCTAAGATGATGATGCTATAAACTATATATAGTTAGATCACAACTCATAATCTAATCACGCCAATTTTTTATATCCTTCTCACCCCATCTATTCTATTCCGTGTGTCTCAACGTAAATTTTTACAACAATTAAATTATATATAAGTCGTCAAAATACGAAAAATAGTTATTGTTTAACATATATTCTTTTTCATGTCAAAATTTTCAGCTTTTTTTACCAAAACTAAACGTCTGTTGATTTGATTATATATTATGAATTTTTCATAAAATTTTATAAAAAGTAAGAGCTTCCTCAGCTGATTAATTGTAATAACATTAAAAGTGTCTTATTTAACTAATATTTATAGTTTCCTTGGAAATATCACTATATCATTTATAAAGTTTAACCAAAAAAATCTTCGTGATTCCTTGGGCTAACAACAATAACTTTCGTTAAAGCTCAAATTTGAGATTCCAATGGCATTACTGTTAGAAAATAAATAGATAAACAAGTTGTAGAAAAAGTTGATTGTTATTAACATATCCCGTTCTTTTTATACAAATTTGAAGAAGTTGATTCAAATTTGAGCACAAATCATAATTGCTGCAGATTTCTTTCACTGCAGTTTCCTTGAGTACCGCTGTAGATTTTCGCGGCCATTTCCCGACGAACCACAGTCTTGAGTATTGCTATAGTTTTCGCGGCCATCTTCCGACGAACTGTAGCCTCTACAATCTGCTGCAGCAAGCAGCAATCCACAACAACTGCCGGCAGCTTTGGGCACTGTTGTAGATTGTCCAATCTACTGTAGCAAGCAGCAATCTATAGCAACGGCCCCCGCTCCCTCATTCTCCACCTTGTGTGACCTGAGTATCACACAAGGTTCGCTGCATTGCTTCTAAAAAAAAAAAATGTCTTCGTTCACTTCTTCTGATGTTTCAATTCCTGTAGGGAATCCCACTTCTTGTTTTTCTACAGGGCTTATCTCCATCAATGCTGCCACGCTGATCCCCTTTAAGTTATCAAAGGGTGGCAACTATGCGTCTTGGCGAGCTCAATTTTCTAATCTTTTATTTGGATATGACTTGTTATGTTACATTGATGGCTCATTCAGTTGTCCTTCGGCCATGCTCAACATCCCCGGAGATCCCAGTCTAGTACCCAATCCAGCTCACAAACTGTGGCTACGTCAAGATTGTCTCATCCTCCAAGCTATTCAAGCGTCAGTTGCTGGATCCGTTGCTCCCTTGATATCTTCATGTGTGACAGCTACAGATGCATGGTCTAAACTGCAAACCACCCTGGCAAATCATTCGCGTACTCGCAAGCTCAATCTTCTATCCAAACTTATGGTGACAAAACAAGAGGGAAGTACTATCTCTGATTATCTACAACATATCAAGGTTATCATCGATGACTTGGCTTTGATAGGTCATTCCCTATGTGACAAAGAGGTTGTCATTCATACCCTCAATGGTCTCGACACCGACTACAAGGAATTGGCTGCTGCAATTCGGGCACGCAACTCGCCAGTCTCTTTTGAAGATCTCTATGATAAGCTGACTGACTATGAGATGTACTTGAAGCGTGCGGACAAACTGCCTGGATCGACTGTCACAACTCAAGTCAATCACAAGTCTAAACGGAAGAGCACTCGATACTCGCCGAACATCACCCAAGGTTTGGCTAATGCGCCTCTTGATTCTGTGAGTTCTATGCAACACCCCTTCTATCCTCCTAGTCATCACTTCTCGCAAAATGGCAACTCCAGCCATCATCCGTCTTGGCATCCTGCCCTACCGAGCCATCAAAGATGGGTCGTTTGCCAACTGTGTGACAAAGTCGGTCAGTCCGCTAAAGTTTGCCGGTCTCGTCCTCGCCTCCCTACTCCATCACACTGGCCTCAGGCAAATCTCCTGACTACTCCGACACCTAGCCAGTCCAACTGGATTGTCGACTCTGGTGCCTCTCATCACATCACCGCTGATCTTCAGAATTTGTCTCTTCACAATCCCTATGGCGGCGATGAAGATATCATCATCGGTGATGGTAAAGGACTTCCTATAACTCATACTGGTTCCATAACGCTTAATTCTGACTCTACTACATTTACCCTCGATGATATTTTATGCGCCCCTCATATTAAACGCAACCTCATTTATGTTTCTCAATTTTGCAAACATAATAATACTTCCATTGAATTCTTTCCTGATTCATTTCTTGTTAAGGACTTGAGCACGGGGGCATCATTGGTCCAAGGCCCGAATAAAGACAACATTTACGAATGGCCATCAGCCTCTCGAATAACCCAGCCCACTGTTCATTCTTCTATTGCGGCTCCAGTTGATGTGTGGCATCGTCGGCTTGGTGGTCCCTCGTCCTTTATTCAACAGAAATTATTTTCTCGTCACTCTCTTCCTCTTTTTAAGTCCACTAATTCTATGATGCATTGTGATGCATGTCTTAGTAATAAGAGTCATCGGCAGTCTTTTGGCTCATCTTCCATTTCCTCCACTAAACTTTTGAAATTATATATACTGATGTTTGGGGTCCTGCTCCAATCTTATCTTTTGAAAAGTTTTGATTTTATGTTATTTTTGTAGATCACTTTTCTAAGTACACATGGATATATCCTCTTTCCAGAAGTTGGTCGAAAACTATTTTCAGTCTACCATTAAAACAGTCTACTCTGATGGTGGCGGTGAATATCAAGCCCTGGCATCCCATCTCTCAGCTTGTGGCATTCAACACCTCAAGTCTCCCCCACATACTCCTCAACTAGTTGGTTCTGCCGAACGCAAACATCGGCATATAGTAGAAACTGGACTCACACTTCTACATCAGGCTTCCATGCCTTCAACTTTTTGGACAGCAACCTTTCAAACTGCTGTCTACCTTATTAATCGAATGCCTACACCAGTCCTACAATACCAGTCCCCCTTTGACACACTATTTCACAAACCCCTTAACCTTCGTAAACTCCGAGTGTTCGGTTGTTTATGTTATCCTTGGTTACGTCCGTATGCCTCTCATAAGTTAACATCCCGATCTACTCCTTGCGTCTTTATTGGTTACTCATTTGAATATAATGCTTTCCGCTGCTATAATCTCCATACTCACAAAATCTTCATATCACGTCACATTGTCTTTGTTGAGTCTAACTTTCCTTTCCAAACCCTTCCATATCCTGCCATACGGACC